TGGTTGGGGGGAGGGGAAGGGGGCGGTCAAGCCAGGAGCACAAGCCGGCGCCGAAGCGAGACAGCGCGACTCCCCCTCTGGGGGGGGCGGGGAAACGCGCGCGCCAAATGGCGCCCTCAGGTGGGGCAGTCGTCGCTCTCACGGCGCGGGAGACGAGCCGGGCGGCGGGCCCGCGTCCCCGTCGGGGGAGGGAGGGAGGATGGGCCGCGTGTCCGCGTGGCGGCCGGGAGCGGCGCCTCCCTCTGCTGGCCCAGTAGGCGGCGGGCCTACGTGCTGAAGACACAAACCTCGGGGCGGGAACAGGTATTGCGCAGAGTCTTCAGGGCGCCGCGTGAAGACGAGGGGCCACGACGACGGTGAATACCACGGAGTACCGCCGCGTCCAGCGGAGCAATACGTGTCCTCTCGAGCGCTGGTTGGAAGAAGAGGACCCGTGTTCCGCTTCTAGGGGCGGCTGGCCGGTGCGCCGCAGCAGCACCCTCCACGACGCCTCGAGCTGGCGCTGCTGGTCGCGCTTCTTGAGCTCGCGGTCCCATGAGGGCGCGTCGATCGTCTCGCGGAGGCAAGTCTCGAGGTATGACGCGTGCACGCGCGTGTGCTCCTCCTCGGTCCCGCCGAGCAGCCCGGCCAGGTCGGCGCTGGCGGCATGCGTCTTGTTTCGCAGCTCGGCGCAGAGCAGCGGAGGGTCGATGAGAGCCTCGCCGGCGATGGCGAGCGGCAGCGCCTCCAGCGCCGCGAAGGCCGCCTCCGGCTCCCCCGCCGGGGACAGGTCGCGCGAGTGCTCCTTGGCAAACGCCTCGAGGAGCGCGTGCGCGGGTAATCTGGGGCAATCTCGGGTAATCTCGGGTAATCTCGGGTAATCTCGCCTCGAGGAACGCGTGCATGCCGCGCCGCGAGGGCAGCGGCTTGAGGCCGCGGAGCAGGCTGCGCATCGCGGCGCGGGCGGAGAGGCCGAGCAGGAGCGCCTCCTCCGCCAACCGCTCGTGCGGCTCCCCCGTCGCCAGGATCCGCAGCTGCTCGCACCACTCGCCCGCGAGCTGCGAGCGGCACGCCATCAGCCGGCGCGCGAGGTCGCGGGGATCGATGGTGGTGTGGTAGCCCGAGGCGGCGCGGTTGAGGTAGGGGTTGTTGGGCGACCCCTGCCGCCGCGCGATCGTGGGCACAAAATACGCCTCGATCGACTCCGTCCGCGTGAGAGCGTCGAGGAAGGCGGCGCCCCCGCCGGGAGGCGCGTCCTTGGCGTGCGCCTCCCACGCCTGGCTGAGCCACATGCCCTGCCCGCGCTCGTTCATGTACTGGAAGCGCTCGAGCTGCGCCTGCGCACCGGGCGGCGGAGCGGAGTGCGTGAGTGAGTGAATTTTGGCGACATTGAGGGCCGGCCGGCAGCATTGGCGACGGCGGCTTGCGGCGAGCACCGGGCGGCGGAGCGGAGTGCGTGAGTGAGTGAATTTTGGCGACATTGAGGGCCGGCCTGCAGCATTGGCGACGGCGGCTTGCGGCGAGGGAAGTGATGGTGGCATGGACGAGGGCGGCGGCGGCACGGGCGAGGGCGGCGAGGGCGGTGGCAGCGACGGCGGTGGTGGCGTGGCGAGAGGAGACACACGGACCTCCACGCTCTTTGCCATCAGCGCGTCCCTGAGCGTGAGCACCTCTGGGTCATCCGGCCGGAGCAGGAGGTGCCTCATCTCGACTGCCGCCCGCCACGGGCGGTGCGTCGACAGTGGGTTACGGGCAGGTGAGTACCACGATGGAGGAGCGGCGACCAGAAGCGACAGCATTTCGGGAGGGCCACTGGTCGGCGTCCTTGATTATACGTTCCTTCATCCGAGCTTTAGGCCGAGGTCACGCCCCGCGAGGTCTCTTGGGTCGACAGGATCACAGCGGGAGGAAAGCGGCGAGTCGCAATTCCAGGGGTCGTTGTGGCGGGCCACCCTGTCCAGAAAGGCATGGATGCCGATCTGGGGTCTCTCGACCGAGTCTATGAATGAAGCCCTGGCCGCTCCGTGAGGCTGCCAACTGCACTCCAAGTGCTCCAAGTGCTCCCGGTGGTGGCAAGGTTAAGCAACCGAGCAACGGAGATGGTGCGGGGGTACGGGTGTTCCAGGGGGTCACGACACGCACCGACCCTTCACGAACCGAAAGGCTGCACCCGGGGAAGGCACAGTAATCCGGGCACGTGTTGGGCGCCCCATTCCGTTTAGGGCTAGGTCGGCTCAGCCCCGTCCACTTCCCTCCCACTTGGCGCGTGATGATGAGGAGATGCCACCCAGGCCAGCCAGGGCAGGGGCGGAGGGCGAGGGCGGAGGGCGGGATGGGCGCCAAGCGGGAGGGAGCGGACGGGGAGGGAGGGGCGCACAGATGGGGGATGGCGAAAGTCGCGCCGACCCCTAGTCTAGGACCCCCCCCCCCCCCCCCAGCACGTGGCACACCTCTTTACTTGTTTGCCGGGTCTTTCTTATCGGTGCCGAGCAGCCGCCTTTCGGGCGTCAAGCACGTCGCATGCGCCGATCACGGAGCGCGGCGCGGAGGAGTTGGGCCCACCAAAGGCTTTGCGCACGAGCGCGTAGAGCCACGGCTCGACGCGCTTTTGGCATGATGCCTCATGCAGCATGTTCAGCTCACTCGCCATCGAAAGGCTGCTAAGGTCGATGTTCACGTCCTTGTCCAGCACGAAGGCCACGACTGAGCGCAGGTAATTCTCTGCCGCCGCGCCGGTCAGCTGCTCGTACGCCACGTGATAGTAGCGAACGCCCGGCGTGTAGCGCAGGCGGTCGGTCCATGCGCGGTGCTCCGCGAGTATTGCCCTGATCTTCTCCTTGACTGTTGCAAAGGGGACAGCCAGTGGGGGAGTCGATGCGCGGGTTGCCGCCGCGCGCGAGGCATTCGTGTCATGCATCTTGACAGCATTGGTCTGATAATTGGATGCCACCTGCAGCAGCACCGCCTCGCGCTCGAGGTGCACGACGCTGATGTTCTCCTCAACCACGTATTTGATGAATTCGTTGACGAGCCGCGGGGGGACCTGGTCGTACATGAGCTTGTATCCGATCACCGGCGTCTCGTGACGCTTGAGGCGCGCCCACTGCGCTTCGCTGTCTGCGCGCCACTTCGCCCACGGGACAGTGGAGTAGTCGTATCCTTCGACGACTCGGTTTTTCATGTATGAGTACTTGATCATCATCTCCGATAGCCGGGATGGATTATAGCCTTGGCTTCCAGGACCTTCTTCTAGTTCTACGCCGCACTCAACCCCAGGCTGCCGCGCCAGCACGTCGCAGAACCAGGTGGAGCCGCTGCGCTGCGTCGTGAACAGGAGGTACCTGCCCGCACGAGTTTGCCCGGCGCATGCCAGCAGGGCCACCGCAGCTAGTGAGGCACGCATTGGTCGAGTGTGCGAACAGCTATATGGGCATGTGTGTCCGGCCTACACGTGTCGACGCCCGCCGAAACCCCCCCCAAACCAGAATGTTACAGTTGTACAATGACTCCCTGCACGACACTGGGCACGGAACTAAAACCAGAATTTCACAACAAAGCTCCCTCGCACGACACTGGGCACGGGACTGGCGCGCACTGGCACTAACACAGGTACACCCGCCCGCCCCCCCCCCCCCCCCGCCACAGACAGGCAACCTCATTCATTCACAATTCTGCGATTGCCGTGTGAAGAACGACCGAGATGCGCTGCTTCTACAGCCCCAGCCAGAAGATCGGCCCGCGAGGTGGGGTGCTAGCATGAGACCGATCCGTCGCAGTTCGGCTCTTGCTCCAACGAGCGCTTGCGCTTCGGCGGTTAGTGGTGTACTCACCTCCGAGAAACCCTTCGGGTCGCTCCTCATGATCGCAAACCCTGTCAGCAGAGTCCTCCTACGGGAATGTACGTAAGAGCCACATACAACGAAAAAGCTTGGCCGGCTCCAAGTGCTCCAAGTCACTCCCTACCTGCCTTTCCCATCCTGGCTCGTCGATCGCCGCCGCTCCCACCCACCCACCTTCTCCTGCCAGGTAGGTGCGGATTGTAGAAGAGCGGCTCCATTAGGGCCACAAGAATCGCACACGGGGAGCGGCTCAGGGGCCAGTAAGCCGCGGAATCGCCAAATGTCACTTGTCACAACCCGATCCACCCAGCTCCCCCAGGGGCAGGGCTGGACCCCTAGTCTGTGCCCCTGTGCTTGGGACGTTCGTGGAACTTGGAAGCTAGGGCAGACCAGTGCCATGACATCAAGATAAAAACAATAGGGAGCTCCACAAATCAGGTTCAATAAAAACAATAGTGGCGGCTGGCGGCGCTACAGCCCCGAAAAGCTGGCGAGCGCCGGCGCCGTTCCGGTTCCCGCCGACCGCTCTGCTCCCCCTGGCGGCCCGCCATGGATCGAGACGCCACTGTGGCGAGCGGATTGCGACCCGTGGAGGAGGCCCGCACGGACTTGCCCGAGAGAGTAGAGGGAGCTGCTAAAGGACCCAGCTGGATGGCCGTGTCGCCGCGCCAGCTGCGGGAGCCTCGCCGTCGACATGGAGGTCGGGAGGATGGGCGACTCGTTGAAGACGTCCGCCAGCTGCAGCACGGCGGCGTGACCAAAGACGAGCATGTTGAGGTCGTTTGCGAGCGTGTGCGAGGTGGACATGCCGGAGGTCAGCAGCGCGGCGCCGCTCGCAAAGACCTCGCCCGTGACCAGGCGGCTCGGGCTCATGGCGAGCAACGCCATGGCGACGAGGGCGCTGCCGTACACCAGAAACTGCGCCGCGCCCACGCTGCTCTCGTACACCACCCCCATCAGAAAGTGCTGGAAGGCGCGCCTGCGGTAGACGTACGCGACGCCGCCGTAGGTCTCCACCTTCTGCTCGAGGATCTCGTCCGTCAGCTCGCCCGCCCCGCCCTTCTTTGAGCTCCACTGGTAGATCTTGTTGACCTGGTTGCCCGCCACGCCGCCGTACCTGCGCGTACCAGGAGGCGTCGGACGCTGGTGTCGGAGCCACCTGCGCGGCGGCGGCGGCGGCGGCGCACGCCTGACGTGCCACATCGCCTTCAGGTGCGCCAGCTCCTCCAAGGAGCGGCGGTAGTAGCCAAAGACCAGGCAGACGCAGGCCATCGCGCCAATGGTGGAGGCGACGTACAGGCACGGGATGATGAGCCCGTAGATCTTGCGCGTCAGGATGCCAGAGACGAAAGTGGCGAGCAGGGTGCAGACGACCTGTGGCACCTCAAAGACGAAGCCCCACACCTGCTTCGGCACAATCACCGTGATGAAATCCACACTCACTGCCGGTACGCAAATACGGCGCCCCGCACGTGGTTGACGGCGTGGAAGACGATCATGTCCTGCAGCTGCGCGCAGGCGCCGCCAGTGAGCCGCGCCGCCGCCTTCTTGTGCTCGCGCTTGCGGTCCATGCCGAAGCGGGTCGCCTCCGCGTGAAGGTTGAGCAGCCTCCGCTGCAGCACGTGGCGCAGGTGAAAGCGCACGCCCGCGAGCGGCACCTGAGGGAAGCGCGGATGCATGGGGACACGTCCCGGGTACAAGCCGACGAGTGTGCCGGAGATCTAGCACGTCGACTTGGAACTGGTAGTAGAGGCGCGTCTTGGCGGTGGCGGTCGCCACCATGCCAAGGCAGAGGACGACCAGCTCAGTGCGGTCCGGCGACGCGTCGTCCTCGCAGGCCTGCTGCACGCGCAGGATTGCCACCGAGAGCAGCGTCGAGAAGACCACCGGCAGCACGCCCAGGGCCGCCTTGAAGAGGAGACAGCGCTTCACGCCATGCTGGTTGCCTGTCTTGTAGAGGAAGCGGCAAAAGGCAAAGCAGAGGCGGAAGAAGCCGACGTCCGCCCGTGTGCCGTCGGGCCACGGCATCGCCCCAATCCAGTCCTTCTCGACGGGCAGCTTTGGCGGTTCCTGCGGAGCCAGCAGCTCATCCGTCCCGCGCCAGAGGCGGTTGCGGTTGAGCCGGTACCACCGCATCTCGGCGGTCCGCTCGCGGTCGAGCGAGAGGTACAGCGACCGTTGGATCTGCGCCTCGCGCCCCTCGGCGAGGCCGTGCGCCTCCACCGGGTCGGCAAAGGCGGTGCCCGAGACAAAGGACTCGGAGGCGGAGATTGTGCTTGGCAGCGGGCTCGTCACAAAGGGAGCGCTCTCGGCAGGCGTGAAGCGCTGCAGCATGCCTCGCGCAAACCGCACAAAGGGCGACTTGGGGCTGTCGTCTCCCGTCCCTGCCGATCCCTGTGTCCCCATCGTCTGCCGCTCGCTGAAGGAGCTATCCTCGGCGAGGAGGGGCAGGCTGAGAAAACTCCCGCTCATCGAGCCCTTCTTCACTCCCTGGTTCGGCGACGGCATGATCCCAGGGCAAGAGGGACGCGCGGAGGGCGGGCGACTCGTAAAAATTCTTTTGCAGAAAGGCGGCAGGTACGACCGTGCCCGACAGTGCTATCAATCAAGTACGTTCGGTCCTTCGCGAGCGTCGGCCGTTTCCTGGCTCACGGAGCTAAAGATGTTCACGGGCCTCCACACGTCTCCCGTATGGGAAGCCCCGGGTGCTCTTTAGCTAAATAAAGATGTTCACGGGCCTCCACACGTCTCCCGTATGGGAAGCCCCGGGTGTATGTACTCGTCTAGGCAGGGGTTGGCTTCTACTGGGAATAGTGATGTGTGTCCGTACTCACAGGGGGTAGCCGGGGGCGGTATCTCGAGCCGGGTATCGACACGGCTCCAGCACGCAGCAGAGAGATTCGGGAGACAAAAAAGTGTGATAGAATTTTACAACAAAGCGTGCGAAAGAGATAGAAATAAGAATAGCGAGATAGAGGCGAGAACACAGCTACGAGACAGAAAAGGAAACAGATGCATCTCCCTCTTTTCAGCCAGGGCTTGGCGGCACTTGGAGCACTTGTTCCTCCTTTTCCCAGGGCCAATCTTCATTCTCTGCCCACACGCTTGCAACCAGAATAGCGTCGCCAATGGTGAAGTTATTGCTCATCGAGAAGTCGCCGCCATTCATGCACGCCGACCGGGGAGCATCCCCCGCCCACTGCGCCGCCGCATGCAGCGCGTCGCCGAGGGTGAACCGGCCATCGCCGTTCAGGTCGCCCCGCAGCTCCTGCTCGGTGCAAGTCGACCAGGGCAGTGGTGACTGGGGCGGCGGTAGTGGCGGCGTCAGCGTCAGCGGCAGCAACGGCAGTGGCGGCGGCAGCGGTGGTGGCGAGGGCGGCGGTAGCGGCGGCGGCGGTAATGCCAGTGGCGGTAGGGACGGCGGCGGCAGAAGCGAGGGCAGCGACGGCGATGGCAGCGACGGCGGCGGCAGCAGCGGCGGTGGCACTGCAAGGGGCCCTGGCGGGCCGGGTGGCAGCGGCGGCAGCGACTCGCTTCCGGTAAACGGGATGATGCTGCTGGCGCAGGCCTCTGCACAGAGGCCTTTGTGCGCGCCGGCTGCGGCGGCACCATCCCAGAGACAGCAGGTGAAGCTGCTGCCACCTCCGTGGTTCTTGGGGCACGCGAGGAGGGCGCCGCAAGGAATGAGAGGGCTCAGCAGGGGAGGCGGCGGCAACGGAGGCGGGGGCGGAGGCGGAGGCGGAGGCGGAGGCGGAGGCGGAGGCGGAGGCGGCGGAGGCGACGGAGCGGGCGACGGAGCGGGCGACGGCACGGGCGTCGGGGGCGGTGGGCTCGGCGGTGGCGGCGAAGGCGACGGAGGCGGCGATGGGGGCAGTGGCGGCGGCGGTTGTGGTGGCGGCAGAGGCGGTGGCGGTGGGGGATACGGTGGCTGGGGCGAAGGTGGTGCGGCTGGGGCGAAGGGAGGCGGAGGCGCGGGTGTGGGTGGTGGCGCGGCTGGAAGAGGCGGGAGGGGTGGTGATGGAGGAGGCGGGTTGGCAGGAGGCGGGGCGGGACAGCCGAAGAACTGCGGGCCGCTAGTGCACTTGTACACGCCACTTTTCAGCCGGTACGTGCAGGGCACGCACGACCCGGAGCAGTCGTGCGCGTACGAGCTGCCCGGCGTCGGAGGGAGGACGGGGTCGACGTAGTGCGATTCGCACAATGCCCTTTCCTGCTCGTCGGGATGCACCGTCGACGAGGACAGCACGCTGAAGCACCACTGCCCCCCGATTGCGCCTGTGAGCATGGTCCTTCCAGGCCGAAGATCCTGCTCTGCGCAAGGAGCGCTCGGCGGCGGGGGCGGCGGCTCGGGGTGAGGTAGCGATGGCGGCGGCGGCGGCGGCGGCCGCGGCGGCAGTGGTGACGGCGACGGGGAGGGTGGTTGATTGCTCAGCGCCGCAGCCGCCGCCTGGAAGCCGGGCACGGAGCTGGCGAGCGAGGATGCGAGCATGTCCCACTTGGGCTGGTTTACCGAGTTGTAGAGGCCGCCGGTGTCGAACGAGTTGTCGTTGAGCGACCAGTAAAAGTGCCCCAAGCCGCGATCGATGAGGTACTCCTGCATCCGCTCCTGCCACGGCCCTGTGTCGTCCCACAGGCCGCCCCACTCCCCGAGCACCACTGGGGTGCCCTCCTCGGACGGGATCAGCCCCCAATGCGTGTCCCACACCTCGGGCGTCCCTGGGTGGTTCGGGTTCTTCGAGGCGTCGCCGTAGGCGTGCGGCGACAGCACCAGCTTGCTCGCGTCCGAGAGCTCGATCGGGTGAGCGCGGTGCGGGTGGACGGCCTCGCCCCACCAGCACGTGTGGCCACTGTGTAGCCCCGACGGGTGGTCGCGGCACCACCCGCCATTGTTGGCGATGCCTTGCACGAAGATGAGCCACCGCGGGCAGCGAGCGAGCACGTGGTTGCCGAGGCGCTCGGCAGCTAGGTCCCAGTCTGTCCTGCGGTCGCCGCTGCCCCAGGTGGCGCCAAAGGGCTCGTTGTAGAGGTCGGCGGCGATGACGTTAGGAGACGCACAGTACCGCGTCACGAGCGAGCTCCACGCGTCGAAGAGCGGCTCCTCGTCCTCGCTGCGGCAGCCACCCTCCACGCTCTGGCACCACAGGGCGCTGTTGGTGTCTGCGGCGATGACGTGGATTCCGAGCATCACGTAGATGCCCGCGTCCTGAAGCCGGCGCACGAGGTCATCCAGCGCCGCCAGGCTGCGGAGCCCCTCCCACTCCCTCCCGCACGAGCCCGTCAGGGTCGGATTAGAGGCAACGTGCTCCACCGAGAGCGGCAGCCGAACGCTGTTGAAGCCGTGCCGCGTGAGGAAGGCGATGTAGTCGTCCACCGCGTATCCCGGGTTTGCCCACCCCTTGTAGAGCTCGTGCACACACGCGGTGTCGCTCTGGAATCCGAACCAGGACGCGCCCTTCAGGAGCAGCTCCTGCCGCCAGTGGCGCGCGCTCAGCGGCTGAAGCCACAGTCTTCCGCCGTCGCCGAGCACCTCGAAGGGCGTGGAGAAGTTGGCGGCCGGATCAGAGGCCCAGGCCACGGCAGGGTACGGTGGCGACGGCGAGGGCGAGGACGTCATGGCAGCGCGGCCAGCTGCCCCGCGCGAAACAAACGCAGTGAACCGCCCGCCGTCCTCTATGCGATGAATCTAGCAATAAGACCGCAGGTGAAAAGAATTTAACAAAAAAGCTCCCTCGCACAACACTGGGCACGGGACTGGCGCGCACTGGCACTAACACAGGTACACCCAGAAAGACGCGTGTAGGATGTATGTAGCGATGTCGCGCGTGAACAGGGCTTGTGGCGCGAAGTCTATGTTGCCGACGAAGCGGATTGCTGCGCGAGCGGGACGGTCGGAGGCGAGGTAAAGCATGGGACGACGACGCCGACGGCGGCGGCGGCGGCGGTGGCGTGGGCTCTCTACCCACCAACCTCGAGCTGTTGTGACGGTGGACAAGGAAACGCCGCAATTGAGACACGGCGGTTCCTGGACGTCCATGGCGACATAAGAAAACATTGCTTTCGCGGAATGTGCCTGAGGGAGGGTGTAGAGGATGTAGAGTGTAGAGCGCTGTAGAGCTGTAGAGATGTAGAGCGCTCTGGAGCGCTGTAGAGCTGTAGAGCTCTACATCCGCCGCGTGACGAACTGCCTGCGTTGTAGAGCGATCCCCATCGGGCCGCATGAGCGGCCACGCCTCGCAGATTCGTTTCTCGCGCCTGGGTCAGGCGCGCGGGGCATCCCCCGGGTCGCTCGACCAGCGATCCGAAGAGTGGCCGCTATGAGAGGGAAAGAGCGGGGCCCTCGACGCCTCAGTCCGGCCCTCCGAGGGGGGAAGGGAATTGCGGGGTCCCCACGGGCGCCTCAGTTCGGCCCTCCCGAGGGGGGGAGGGGAGCCAGGAGGTGGGGGGATCGGGGCGGTGGGGAGGGGTCTCGGTTTCGTGTGGCTAATACTTGCCTTTCGGGGAGGGGCCTCCGTTACGGCGCAATTTAATGGAGTTTTCTTCTCTTTTTAGAGGGGCTTGCGGTTGTAAAATTCTTTTAAATTCTTTTTAGACTCGCTTCAGCTGGCGGGACGGCTCATACAAGGAGCTAGAGATGTGCTCGATCCCGTCAGCTCGACGCTGACGGGACGCTTACGCATGTTGTTCGTGATAGCCCTGGCGCTGACCACATACGAGATCTTCTCAGTCAACGAGCTCCGCGACAGCATCCAGCGAGCCAACACGTCAACGCTGTCACTCCTGCTCGCCGAGCATGCCACCTACCGGCTTGGAGGCTCGCCTCTGGAGATTCACGGCCGCCTCCGAGTGCAAATCTCCGGCCGGGAGGGCACTGTTGTTGACGCGGCTGGGCTCTCGCGTGCGTTCATCGTCGCCGGCGGAGGCTCGCTGGAGCTTCGCTCGCTTTCGGTGATCCGCGGCGTCGCAAACGCCTCAGACACAGACGGAGGCGGAGGCTGTGTGGTGGTCAGACCAGATAGCGCGCTGCGCGCCACCGACGTCCTCTTTTCTGAGTGCGCGGCAGTTACCCAGGAGCGTGGATGGATGGCTGCCGCCGGGCATACGATGGCCCGCAACGCCCTCGCCGACTTCAATATCCGAGGCGGCGCGGACGGCGGGGGCACGGATGCGCAAGGCGGCGCGATCGCATCGCATGGGGGCACGATCTGGCTCGAGGGGTAGCCCGCCGACATGCCCTCTGGAGGTATCATACGCAAGCGCCATGAGCAGAGGCCCTCCCTGGTCGCAGGTGCACGCTGCGCAACGCGTCGGCCCTCGATGGCGGCGCCATCTTTGTGTGGGGAGGCTCGCTGCTCATCGAGCACAGCCGCTTCCTCGACTCCTCCGCAGCTCGCGAGGCCGGCTGGTGCGGTTCTCCAGCGCTCCCGTTCACTCTCTCTTACCCCGTCTGTCTCACCGCCGTATGCACCGCCTCTCTCCCACGCTCGTCTCACCGCCACGCACCGACTCTCCGACACAACCTACCACCGCCCCTCCTCCCACCACCGCCCCTCAGCATCGCCATCCTCGAGGGCGCAGCAGCGGACGTCCGTAACGCGACGCTGCGAGGCTGCTCCGCCGGCGGCGACGGCGGAGGGATCTTCGCCGCCGACGGCGCTCAAATGGTCCGCCTCGCCCCTGCCGCCGCATCCCTCCGCCTCGCCCCTGCCGCCGCATCCCTCCGCCTCGCCATTGCCGCCGCCACCCTCCGCCTCGCCCCTGCCGCCGCATCCCTCCGCCTCGCCATTGCCGCCGCCACCCTCCGCCTCGCCCCTGCCGCCGCATCCCTCCGCCTCGCCATTGCCGCCGCCACCCTCCGCCGCGCCCCTGCCGCCGCCACCCTCTGCCTCGCCCTCCCACCGCCCTCCGCCTCGCCCTCCCCACCACCCTCCGCCTTGCCCTCTCCACCATCCTCCGCCTCGCCCTTTCCACCACCCTCCGCCTTGCCCTCCCCACCTCCGCCTCGCCCTCCCCACCACCCTCTGCCTCGCCCTCAAGGTGCTCGCAGATTCGTTCGTCGAGGAGTGCACGGCGGAGGGCAGCGGCGGCGCGCTCGCCCTCGACGGCGCGTTTGTGGAGGTGCACCGCAGCGAGCTACGCGCCTGCATGGCGCTCGAGTCGGGCGGCGGCGTGTGGGCCTTCAGCGGCATGGTTTCCGCATCCGACCTGCGGCTGCAGGGGTGCGGCGCCGAGGAGGACGGCGGCGGCATGTACTTGTTGCACGCGTCGGCGCGGCTGCTGCGCACGAACATCGAGGGGTGCGCCGCCGGCCGCTCGGGCGATGGCGACGGCGACGGCGGCGGCCTCGCGGTCCACGGCGGCACGCTCACCGCCTCGGAGGTGCGGGTGGTGCGCTGCTCGAGCGTACGGGACGGCGGCGGGATGCACATCGGCTCAGGGGCGCTGGTGGTGCTGACCGCGTCGCTCGTGCAGGAGCGCCTCACCGCCACGCACCGCCTCCCTCCCACACCTCTCTCCCACGCCTGCCTCACCGCCGTACACCACCACCGCCATGCGCCACCACCGTCATGCACCACCACCGCCATGCACCACAGGAGTGCCAGGTCTACCTGGTGCGTGGGCGCGGCTCTGCTGTCTTTGTCGACCGCGCCGGCGCGCTCGAGCTGGCCAACTCGTCCATCCTGCGCTGCCACTCGCGCCTGTACGGCACGGCGTACGTCGAGGGCATCCCGACGCCGAGCCGCGGCAGCGAGCTCGCCCCGAGATCCGCCGAGGGGAGAGATCGGCCGAGCGCTGTAGGCAACCTGACGTTGAGCCACGGCTCCGAGCTCGCCGACTGCGACGGGCACGACATGGGCCTGTCGGGCTCCTCAGAGGACTCGCGGAGGGGGGGCGTGCTGTGGATCCGCCACGGCGGCGTGGCCCGCTTGCTGCGCTCCCGCGTGGCCGACAACCGCGTGTACGACCTCAGCGCGCCAAAGACCTTCTTCGCCGTGGCGAGCGTGGACGCCGGCGCGAGGCTCGAGGTCTTCCACTCCCTCTTTGAGAACAACTCGATCACGTCCGTCACCGATGACGGCGACGCGGCGGGGGCGCGGCTTCGGCCGGCGAGAGCGCCCGAGATGGAAGGAGACCGCTCGAGGCTGTAGGCGCCGCGGCAGTGTACGTTCACTCAGGCGGAGAGCTGCTGGCGGTGGGGATGGACGTGGAGCTCGCTTGTGGCGCGACACGCAACCCCGCGATCGACATGGACGGCGGGCGGGAGGAGGGAGCCGACGCACCCCCGTCGCTCTCGCCCGAGGCCGCCGCCTTTGCCGACTACCACGGCGTAATTGGCCCAATCTCGCTCCCGGCCACGCAGCCCGCGCCGCCCGCTGTCCGGCTCTTTGCGCTGCGCGCGTGGGTGACGCCTGCGTGCGAGGTGCGGAGGAGCGCCGCGCAGGTCCGCCTCGCCCCTGCCGCCGCCTCCCTCCCCCCCGCTCTCTCCACCACCTTCCCCACCGCTCTCCGCTTCGCCCTCCCCACCGCCCTCCGCCTCGCCCTCCCCACCGCCCTCCGCCCCGCCCTCCCCACCGCCCTCAAGGTCGAGGCCCTCGTCCTGCGTGGGCAGAGGCCGGCGCGCTGCGACGCCGACCCGGCCGTGTGCGCCCCGCTGGCTATCTGCTCCGATGAGGCGGTCGTGGGCGGGGGCGGGCTCACGGCCCCCTCGTGCAGCTGCGAGCCGCCAAACGTGCCCGCCTCGGGCGCGCCGGACCGTGGGCTGGCAGCCGTTCTGCCCGAGTTTGGCTGCCTGACGCCGCGCTTCGCGTCGGACGTCACCGTCCTCGACCGCGCGGGGACCGGCGTGCCCCACATCGTGATGGAGCTCACCAAGACGTCCGAGAACGAGCGGGCCACCCGCTCGCTGCTCCTCCACGTCGGAGGCACACAGGAGGCGACGCTGCGGTGCGGCACCCACCGAGACCCCCCCCCCCCCACACCCTTTTTT